TCGTGGCCTCAGATACGTGTCTCGTGACCTCAGATACGTGTCTCGTGGCCTCGGATACGTGTTACGTGTCTCGTGGCCTCGGATACGTGTCTCGTAGCCTCGGATACGTGTCTCGTGGCCTCGAATACGTGTCTCGTGGCCTCGAATACGTGTCTCGTGGCCTCGAATACGTGTCTCGTGGCCTCGAATACGTGTCTCGTGGCCTCGGATACGTGTCTCGTGGCCTCGGATACGTGTCTCGTGGCCTCGCAGAGTGTACGTAGGCCTTTCTTTGAGTACACGTAGAGGTGCTGGTGTGTCCTCAACTGCCGGAACTGATCAAGCTGGTTGCCCACGCGGTCCAAGTTGTCCAGAATTGCCGAGTCAGCACCTAATTACATCAAAAAATTAACATTTAGTATCAAAGTGAACACAGAAAAATCGTCAACAGAGATCTTTTTAGGTGTGCTGCCAAAACGTGATTTTGTACGACTTTTAGAACGAACTCTTGAACAGGTACCTAGTGTACCTACTTTGTCCAGGTACTGTACCTACTTTGTCCAGGTACTGTACCTACTTTGTCCAGGTACTGTACCTACTTTGTCCAGGTACTGTACCTACTTTGTAAAATTAATATATTGCTCAAAACATATAAATTAGACTTTTTCAAAACCATATTTTCGAACAGTGAAACAGACCCGATGACCCAAGAGCTACTTAGAACACATGACCTGTTGAGCATTAGAGGGGCCCTCATGAGGGGCCCTCACAGGCCCCTCATGTCCCTCACAGAAACCTCATGGCCCTCACAGACACCTCATGTCCCTCACAGACACCTCATGGCCCTCACAGACACCTCATGTCCCTCACAGACACCTCATGTCCCTCACAGACACCTCATGTCNATGTACAGCCTGTACCTGGACACAACAAAATGTACAGCCTGTACCTGGACACAACAAAATGTACAGCCTGTACCTGGACACAACAAAATGTACAGCCTGTACCTGGACACAACAAAATGTACAGCCTGTACCTGGACACAACAAAATGTACAGCCTGTACCTGGACACAACAAAATGTACAGCCTGTACCTGGACACAACAAAATGTACAGCCTGTACCTGGACACAACAAAATGTACAGCCTGTACCTGGACACAACAAAATGTACAGCCTGTACCTGGACACAACAAAATGTACAGCCTGTACCTGGACACAACAAAATGTACAGCCTGTACCTGGACACAACAAAATGTACAGCCTGTACCTGGACACAACAAAATGTACAGCCTGTACCTGGACACAACAAAATGTACAGCCTGTACCTGGACACAACAAAATGTACAGCCTGTACCTGGACACAACAAAATGTACAGCCTGTACCTGGACACAACAAAATGTACAGCCTGTACCTGGACACAACAAAATGTACAGCCTGTACCTGGACACAACAAAATGTACAGCCTGTACCTGGACACAACAAAATGTACAGCCTGTACCTGGACACAACAAAATGTACAGCCTGTACCTGGACACAACAAAATGTACAGCCTGTACCTGGACACAACAAAATGTACAGCCTGTACCTGGACACAACAAAATGTACAGCCTGTACCTGGACACAACAAAATGTACAGCCTGTACCTGGACACAACAAAATGTACAGCCTGTACCTGGACACAACAAAATGTACAGCCTGTACCTGGACACAACAAAATGTACAGCCTGTACCTGGACACAACAAAATGTACAGCCTGTACCTGGACACAACAAAATGTACAGCCTGTACCTGGACACAACAAAATGTACAGCCTGTACCTGGACACAACAAAATGTACAGCCTGTACCTGGACACAACAAAATGTACAGCCTGTACCTGGACACAACAAAATGTACAGCCTGTACCTGGACACAACAAAATGTACAGCCTGTACCTGGACACAACAAAATGTACAGCCTGTACCTGGACACAACAAAATGTACAGCCTGTACCTGGACACAACAAAATGTACAGCCTGTACCTGGACACAACAAAATGTACAGCCTGTACCTGGACACAACAAAATGTACAGCCTGTACCTGGACACAACAAAATGTACAGCCTGTACCTGGACACAACAAAATGTACAGCCTGTACCTGGACACAACAAAATGTACAGCCTGTACCTGGACACAACAAAATGTACAGCCTGTACCTGGACACAACAAAATGTACAGCCTGTACCTGGACACAACAAAATGTACAGCCTGTACCTGGACACAACAAAATGTACAGCCTGTACCTGGACACAACAAAATGTACAGCCTGTACCTGGACACAACAAAATGTACAGCCTGTACCTGGACACAACAAAATGTACAGCCTGTACCTGGACACAACAAAATGTACAGCCTGTACCTGGACACAACAAAATGTACAGCCTGTACCTGGACACAACAAAATGTACAGCCTGTACCTGGACACAACAAAATGTACAGCCTGTACCTGGACACAACAAAATGTACAGCCTGTACCTGGACACAACAAAATGTACAGCCTGTACCTGGACACAACAAAATGTACAGCCTGTACCTGGACACAACAAAATGTACAGCCTGTACCTGGACACAACAAAATGTACAGCCTGTACCTGGACACAACAAAATGTACAGCCTGTACCTGGACACAACAAAATGTACAGCCTGTACCTGGACACAACAAAATGTACAGCCAGTACCTGGACACAACAAAATGTACAGCCAGTACCTGGACACAACAAAATGTACAGCCAGTACATTTTCTACTATTATGTCCAAAATAATATAATAAATAATTATGTCTGATTATATGTTCAAAATGCCTGAGGTAAAAAAGCTCATAGGGAAGCTTGAGTCTAGATTAACTAAATGGAGGGCACAGCGAAATATTTAAACCACTTACCTAGTCAGGCTGAACTGGATGAGGTACATCTGGGGCCGTATTATCAAAACTTCGTAAGTACGCAAAATCGACTTACGAGTGGCGTTGCTATGACAACGTAGTACTAGCGGTGGTATTATAGAAACATTTGAGCGGGAAAAAAATTTAGGCTTTTAGCTAAGACTTGCGTACGAAAGTTTTGATAATGCCAAAATTAGGGTGTATTTACATACCACAGAACTTTTTTGTCGTAAGTACAAAAAGTTACGAAGTTTTGATAATACGACCCCTGGTCCATGAAGTTATTGCCGGTGAAGGAACAGTAGAATTGGTACCTCAGCAGTACCAGCACCAAATTCTGCCAAACCAAAGGAACAGTAGAATTGGTATCACAGCAGCACCAGCACCAAATTCTGCCAGCAGTACACAGTTGTTACTCTCGGTGGTAACATGGTCGTAACAATGAACAAATACTCTATAAATACTCTATAAATACTCTAACAAATCTCTAACAAATACTCCATAAATCGAACCCAAGAAGGATTGAGACATTGTGGTTCCCGATGTTTGCGAAGCAACCCGCCTATTGAGGACGACGAAGGCGGCGCATCAGCATGACCTAGGACAGTTACGTCTAAAACTTGTGCTAAATTTATCAGGTTTGTGCAATCTAGGATAAAATTAAATCAAGTTATTTACGTGCATGTGATATCTCCGGTAAACTGTTTACGACTCGCCAATAGCAGATTACTTTAAAAAATAATACCGCTGTGAAATACTTCGATGGATTATGCTGGAGGTGGATTATGCTGGATAAATGCTGGAGGTGGATTATGCTGGAGGTGGATTATGCTGGATAAATGCTGGAGGTGGATTATGCTGGATAAATGCTGGAGGTGGATTATGCTGGATAAATGCTGGAGGTGGATTATGCTGGATAAATGCTGGAGGTGGATTATGCTGGAGGAATGCTGGAGGTGGATTATGCTGGAGGTGGATTATGCTGGATAAATGCTGGAGGTGGATTATGCTGGATAAATGCTGGAGGTGGATTATGCTGGATAAATGCTGGAGGTGGATTATGCTGGATAAATGCTGGAGGTGGATTATGCTGGATAAATGCTGGAGGTGGATTATGCTGGATAAATGCTGGAGGTGGATTATGCTGGATAAATGCTGGAGGTGGATTATGCTGGATAAATGCTGGAGGTGGATTATGCTGGATAAATGCTGGAGGTGGATTATGCTGGATAAATGCTGGAGGTGGATTATGCTGGATAAATGCTGGAGGTGGATTATGCTGGATAAATGCTGGAGGTGGATTATGCTGGATAAATGCTGGAGGTGGATTATGCTGGATAAATGCTGGAGGTGGATTATGCTGGATAAATGCTGGAGGTGGATTATGCTGGATAAATGCTGGAGGTGGATTATGCTGGATAAATGCTGGAGGTGGATTATGCTGGATAAATGCTGGAGGTGGATTATGCTGGATAAATGCTGGAGGTGGATTATGCTGGATAAATGCTGGAGGTGGATTATGCTGGATAAATGCTGGAGGTGGATTATGCTGGATAAATGCTGGAGGTGGATTATGCTGGATAAATGCTGGAGGTGGATTATGCTGGATAAATGCTGGAGGTGGATTATGCTGGATAAATGCTGGAGGTGGATTATGCTGGATAAATGCTGGAGGTGGATTATGCTGGATAAATGCTGGAGGTGGATTATGCTGGATAAATGCTGGAGGTGGATTATGCTGGATAAATGCTGGAGGTGGATTATGCTGGATAAATGCTGGAGGTGGATTATGCTGGATAAATGCTGGAGGTGGATTATGCTGGATAAATGCTGGAGGTGGATTATGCTGGATAAATGCTGGAGGTGGATTATGCTGGATAAATGCTGGANACTCAGACGAGCGTGACACGAACTCAGACGAGCGTGACACGAACTCAGACGAGCGTGACACGAACTCAGACGAGCGTGACACGAACTCAGAAGAGCGTGACACGAACTCAGACGAGCGTGACACGAACTCAGAAGAGCGTGACACGAACTCAGACGAGCGAGACACGAACGCTGACCAGCGTGACACGAACGCTGACCAGCGTGACACGAACTCAGGCGAGTTCGTGTCACGCTGTCACTCAGACAATTTCCTGCCCTAATGCTTCATCATCAACATGGATTGCCAAATTCTATGGATTGCCGAGTTCTCACAGAAAGACCGATTTAGCCTGTTGAATATTCGCATTAAAATTGCCAAGTGGTTACCAGCAAACATGCCGCGATGGTAGATTTAATGCTTGGAACGCAGCACGTTAGGTAAAACTCTTCTGAGTCTAGAAAAGCTACTGAACGTATCCATTTAGTACGGCAGGTCTATACATGTTCTTACTGGGAAAACGGGCCAAATTTCTTCGTTTCACATCAAATAGTTTTAAAATATATAACGCATTGTTGATTGTCACGTGGCTTACTATACAACTCATGGAGTAAAGCGAGACTCCGCCAAGATTCAGCCCAACAACATGAGATAAAAATAACCGAGTAGAGTTATAACTCACCGAGTAATGTGAGGCTTTTCTCCATGAGTTTATAAGCGAGTAGAGGTATAACTCACCGAGTAATGTGAGGCTCTTCTCCATGAGTTTATAAGCGAGTAGAGGTATAACTCACCGAGTAATGTGAGGCTCTTCTCCATGAGTTTATAAGCGAGTAGAGGTATAACTCACCGAGTAATGTGAGGCTCTTCTCCATGAGTTTATAAGCGAGTAGAGGTATAACTCACCGAGTAATGTGAGGCTCTTCTCCATGAGTTTATAAGCGAGTAGAGGTATAACTCACCGAGTAATGTGAGGCTCTTCTCCATGAGTTTATAAGCGAGTAGAGGTATAACTCACCGAGTAATGTGAGGCTCTTCTCCATGAGTTTATAAGCGAGTAGAGGTATAACTCACCGAGTAATGTGAGGCTCTTCTCCATGAGTTTATAAGCGAGTAGAGGTATAACTCACCGAGTAATGTGAGGCTCTTCTCCATGAGTTTATAAGCGAGTAGAGGTATAACTCACCGAGTAATGTGAGGCTCTTCTCCATGAGTTTATAAGCGAGTAGAGGTATAACTCACCGAGTAATGTGAGGCTCTTCTCCATGAGTTTATAAGCGAGTAGAGGTATAACTCACCGAGTAATGTGAGGCTCTTCTCCATGAGTTTATAAGCGAGTAGAGGTATAACTCACCGAGTAATGTGAGGCTCTTCTCCATGAGTTTATAAGCGAGTAGAGGTATAACTCACCGAGTAATGTGAGGCTCTTCTCCATGAGTTTATAAGCGAGTAGAGGTATAACTCACCGAGTAATGTGAGGCTCTTCTCCATGAGTTTATAAGCGAGTAGAGGTATAACTCACCGAGTAATGTGAGGCTCTTCTCCATGAGTTTATAAGCGAGTAGAGGTATANTCCCTCACAAGCCTCCCCCTCACAAGCCTCACAGGATGGTACTGCTTGAGCAGGGTGTGCATCTGTTCGACCTCCTCGCTGGTGAGCGTCTTCAGGATGTGCATCTTGTCACTGGTGATGAAGAAATATTAACTCAATATTAATATTACTCAATAATAATATAATAATATTAAATTAATTAACTGAAAATAATTAATTAATTAATAATTAACAGTCGCTGGTGATGAAGAAGCTGGCGTCTCCACGGACACTGGCTGTGACCTGAACAATTAGACAAATTAATAACTAAATAAAAAGTTCCTACTATCTTTAGAGGAAACATTTCAGAGTCCAGCTTTTGGAGCAGGACTCCACTTTGGAAGAAAAGGTTTTGGAGTTCAACATTTGGAGCTGGACTCCGAAACGTTTTCTTTAAAAGATAGTATGAATTTTTGTGGAGTTTTCTTTGCTTTCAAGTTTTTAGTGAATTTACAATTCAAGCAAATGAGTGACATTATTAATTCATAATTAATACATGTATGCATCTATGTAGTCTCTGCTACACTGAAATAAAAAGTAAATTTATTCTAAATATCATGAAAATTTCAACCTCCTGCACCTGTAGTCTCTGCTACACTGAAATAAAAAAGTGAATTTATTCTAAATTTCATGAAAATTTCAACCTCCGTCACCCGTAGTCTCTGCTGCACCTCAATTGTTGGTGCGGTTGGAGGCCGCCAGAGTTCACTCATCACACCAGATCTCTGCTAATATCAAACCAAAACAAAAAATTCCTGATATGGCGCTAATATTACACTATAATAAGATATTCCTGTAAGATATTCATAATATTATTCAATATTATTCAGCAGGAAATTGTAGCAGAAGTCAAGACCTGAGAAATATCCAGCCCAGGAGGTCTCGAACTCACAACTCACTGCTACAATTCTGCTGTGCTTAACCGCCCGGCCTCCTTGCCGATTCTGACCACTGACCAGAAACTGGCGCACAGAGCTGGGATCGAACCCGCGCCTCTCTGCTCCAGTCATGGCACTCTGAACTTTAACCACTAGGCCACCCTGCCTGAATTGAAAACTTAATTAACCTCCCTTAATTGAAAACTAAGAAATGTAAAAAAACGGTAATAATTCCTATCGCAGGGTATTGATAACTACTTTATTCCAAAATTCAATCAAATCCATTCAGTATAGAAGGCTTTTGAGTGGTTAGGTTGAGCGTGTTAGTTAGGTTTTGAGTTTGAGTCCGCAGGCGTGCTCCCAGACGGGTCCGGAGAAGTGTCGATTCGTTCTATGAAGTCAAGTGCTTAAAACCATAGCGCCGGATATCAACAGCCATCAGCCAATGCTTGAACATGCCCGAGTTAATCATGGCCATACTACATCTGGCCTAACCTCTTCCGGCTTAACTGCATCTGGCCTAACCTCTTCCGGCTTGACTGCATCTGGCCTAACCTATTCTGGCTTAACTGCATCTGGCCAAACCTCTTCCGGCTTAACTGCATCTGGCCTAACCTCTTCCGGCTTAACTGCATCTGGCCTAACCTCTTCTGGCTTAACTGCATCTGGCCTAACCTCTTCCGGCTTAACTGGGGTCAGGGTGGCCTTAACACTGGGCAGGGTGGCCCAGTGGTTAAAGTTCAGAGTACCAAGATTGGAGCAGTGAGGTGCGGGTTCGATCCCAGCTCTGTTCGCCAGTTTCTGGTCAGAATTGGCAATCAGGCCGGGCGGTTAAGTGAAGAAAATTTGAAGCAGTGAGTTGGGAGGTCAAGCCCGCGACATACTGTGGATGGGGGCGCAGCCGTAGACGGCAGGCCACAAATTTTACTCTTATATAAGCCCTGAAGCCAACGCTTAGCTTCACCATGCATTAACTTTACTCAGCCTCAGATAGAAGCCGCAGACTACGCTTGAATCCCGTAATCCAGACAAGCGACACACTGCCGAAAGATAATAGCGCCATAGGTCTTCAGCCAATGCTTAAGCATGCTCGCTCATAAGCAGGCAGTTCCCCATCCTGCTGTACCTACTCCGGCCTAACCTCTTCTGGCCTAACCTATTCACGCTGTCCCGCCTCACAACCTTCTTTCAGCCAATGACTGGCTCTATACCAGCACAATTGGACCGCCTTTCTAACTTCTTGCAGCCAATGAGGTTAGGTAAGGTCCGCTCAGGTTGGTTTTGGGTGAAGGAAGGTTGAAGCTGGACGGCTCCCAACTTTGAGAGTGAGACCTCCAAAATAAGGACATATTACAACGAAAGAAGGGGGAGACTGTGCAGGATTCCCCCATTTAATAACCGAGCCGCGGCCAGAGTACAGACCTGTCTCTTATACACATCTAGATGTGTATAAGAGACAGATCTACACCTGTGCAGTGACGCAGTGAGTGATCTACACCTGTGCAGTGACGCAGTGAGTGATCTACACCTGTGCAGTGACGCAGTGAGTGATCTGTATTAATAATGTCCATTATTTACGTACGTGTACTATTGGCTCATTAATTCCATTAACTAATTGTCTTCCATTATTAACTGTTAGCCACAGCAGCCATTAGCCCTGCCTTGTGTAGGGTTAAGTCAAGATCCTAAATCCTAACCATAATCATAATAAACTCTAAGGTATTATATATAAATAAAATAACGAATCATTGATATTCACTATATATATAAAAGTCAAAAAATTATTGAAAAACAGAAATAGACTTTATTACTTCCGACTTTTGGCGAATTTCAGCCTCGTTAAGACTATTCCATTCAGCCTTCATTAAAAATGTATAGAAAAAAGAATAAAATAAGTTTTTAATTATGCCTTAAATGAAAACAATAAATTTCGCAGGCCAAGTCCAGGAAAATGTACAACAGAAATCCGTAATAAAAATATTCAAGAACAACGGCAAAGTCTTACAAAAAATTAATAAATAATAATAATCGAAATAAATCTGCATAATAAAGCTTGAAGATAAATGAAAGGCTAGCACCCATACTGAAATACTGCAGTGCACTAAAACCATACCTAAATAATTTTATTATCTTCACATCAATGTTTACGTTTCCTAACCCCAGTTGTTCTGATATCTTCATCATTTTCAGAAATTTCTAAGGGGTCCTCATTTTGAGCTTGTTTTTGCGGCAGAATTTGGTCCGTTTTTTCGTTCCTCGAACTTTCAAAAACGCGGAATTCTTCATCGAACATTCGGCCTTCCGCATTTCCTGAGCTGTGCTTCCCATCCGAATTTTTCCGCCTGAAAAAATGTCCAATTCCTTGCAGATTTTCCACAATTCGGGGGTTATTTTCTTCCATATTTGCCTTGCCTTCATTACAAACACAAGTTAAACCATCAAAATTCTCTGCTTCATCAAAATTCTCTGCTTCATCAAAATTCTCTGCTTCATCAAAATTCTCTGCTTCATCAAAATTCTCTGCTTCATCAAAATTCTCGTCTCCGCGGCGCAGAAATTTCTCTTGGTCCGCTTTCCTCAGCACCGCAAGATCCTCGTCCGGTACATCGTCCCGTTGCCGTTGCCGGTACGTGTGCTCCAGTAACGGTACCACGCAGTGCCGGGGGAACCACCCGCGGTGCCGGACACGCTTCTTGCCACTACCGTTTCCGGTACCGCTGTACCGGGGCTGACAGTCACCGTACAGCCAGTACCTGGAAAGAAAAGTACTGTAAACAAAACAGAACAACACATGATTACTTTCCCTCTGATTCCTAAATGTGTTTGTACACTGAGCCACTAGTGGCGGCCAGTACAACTTTCATATATTAACTGCCACTATTTACCGCGCTACTGGCCTCTTGTTTAGAGGTTACTGGAGCAAATAGACGGAACACGTCCAACGTTACATCCGGGACCCGAGGGCGGGGTGACCTGCCTAGCGATGACTCGGAGACGGAGGACGACGAAGGCGGAACATCAGCTTGACCGTGGACTACGACGTCCTAAACTCATCACACAAGATCACACAAGCTCGTATAGGTTAGGCTAGATGAGGTTTGGCCAGATGAAGTATGGCCATGTTTTCCTTTGGCAAGCTTAAGTTGTGGCTGTGGACATCCGGCGCTATGGCTTTGAGCACTTGACTTCATGGGCCGTTAATCACTCTAGCGTTCTTACCTATGGAAAAGAATAAGAACCAAGTGTGAAGTTTGGCAATGCTGGCCTCCGGCATGCGCCTATTTGGTTATTCTGCAATGTTAAGAATAAGCGGGAGTTCTACGGCCTAATAAACGCTGAAACCGCTATAACTGCATCAGACCCAACCTGGTCCAAGCTAGACACGTTGCAACATTTCTTCACTTAAAACAAACCTAAGCGGCCCAAACCTAACCTCATTGACCGCAAGAAGATAAGAAGGCGCTTCAAAATATCCGGTATTGTTGATTCCCGGCAACGCTGAGCTCAGCTGATTATTGGATATGAAACTTCGATTGTTCCAGCCATTTATTAATTATGATTAACTATCCTGTGTGATCTACACCTGTGCAGTGACGCAGTGAGTGATCTACAGCTGTGCAGTGACGCAGTGAGTGATCTACAGCTGTGCAGTGACGCAGTGAGTGATCTACACCCTGTCTCTTATACACATCTAGATGTGTATAGCAGCAAAGCGCCGCCACACCTTTGCTTTCACTTCGCCCTCGGGTTTTGTGAGACCCTTAGACTTGCACACATGCTATACTCCTTGGCCCGTGTTTCGAGACGTGTTGGTTCTGAAATCTTGCAGCACCAACATGACAAATTTTCAATACATTTGGAATCTTGGAGCCAGATTGAGCATTTTTACAACAATTAGATAGAAGGAGCTTCATCTAGTGGGAATCTTGCAGTTCCAAAAATGGATGGAAACCTAGTCATGGCCCTGAAGCATTGTGGTAAAGGAGAACATTTCTTGTTGCCCTTCCTCTGGTTCATTCTTGAATGCTATAAGTAGACTAGTATCTAGTATGTATCTTGGACATCAGCATTACCATACATAAGAAATTGATTGAAATTTTGAGTAGTTCAGGAAATTAAAATGAACTGATTTTAATAACTCTTTGGTTTGCCACCATGCCCTGAAGCTAGATGTTTTTCATGCTAGATTCAAGTTTGACCCATAGGCA